GGCGGGGCTCCACTGTACCTTTCCAGTTTTGGATCTCTCTTCTTCAATCATCTTGTCCCCTTCCTGATCTGGTCTTGTAAACTGACAATCCAGGTCAGCGGTATCAACAGTTATAACCGATATACTGTCAGCTCGTTTTCTAAGAGGTATATCAAGATGGCTGTCCAACCGCTCCACGCTTTGGCGTCCATTCCAGCGTCCATCGACATCCTCGATATCTGGCATGATCGCCTCTGGTGCAGGATCCTCGGCTATTTACGAATATAAAATAAAAGCAGGAGCTTAATATCAAGTTTGGGGCGCCAAACTTCCATTCTACCAAAAAATCACGGAACTTTCGAAACAGGCGTAAATGGTGCGGAATATCCCTCGTTACTAAGGGAACGTTCCCTTCCAAATGACCAACCAGTAGCGTCCTCGTCTGTGGGAGGTGAACAAGAGTGTAGGGGAAGACTGTCCACCAGGGTGTTGTGGGTTCAGGGGCCGCTACCATGGCGCTACGTAAACTGTGAGAACCCTGAACGAGCTACATGTCAATCCGTCTCCACAAACACAATACGAGTGTGGCAAGGGGCTACAAGGACTGATCAATGTGATCTTTTCTAAGAGGACTTGACCCGTTTTACCGTCAATTTTGTACAACTATATCTCTTGCGGTAATATTCTGAAATACGCTACTTTTTTTTCTTTGCGGTAACACCAACTCACCATATGTAAGCTTTGTTTGCTCCTCTGTTGCGTATGTTTTCAGAAACTCAGCGAATGCGCCCCTGTTCTTAACCAGCTCTGTATAAGTACCAACCTGAAATTAATCGGAAAGTCGACATTAAAAACGGTTACACACGTGCGTGAAAATAAGGCAACACATAAAAATTTTCTTGCAGCGTCGCAGCAATGACAGTCGTTGCAAAAAGAGGAACTAGATTTTACTCTCTACAGCACTTGCCACAATAAGAACGTTTTGACACATGCTGATTTTGGGGAGTTTCATGCAACTCGTTGTTTTGCAACAAAATTGTAATACAAGTTTCATAAAAAAGCGCAATCATTGAAATCATGAAAAGATACTGTGAGGCTGATCAACTGACATTCCAGATAAAAAAAAGTTATCTAAAAGAGAAAATTGCTGGTTTTCAGTGTCACGCCATTCAAAATAGATCGAAATAAAAATCAAAACCATTCAATAGATAAAGTCCAGAATCAGAGAAAAGAAAGAAGGTAAATATGCAAAGACTCTCGCCAGGATTCAGGTCACAGCAATCTTCCTTATGCAAGAAATGCGGGGAAACTTTTTACCAAAATTTATAGAGATTTGTATGGAGACGCCATGCTTGTGCCCATCCGGATGGGCACCAACATGGCGGCCAGAAAGCAACAGAAACATCTGTCACTAAGTTTTGCTACAAAAGCGTGAATTTATCTCTCGAGGAACTCAAAAACATTAAAATTATACTTTTTCTAATACAAGAACTGTTCAGATAGCCAAATTCTCCGAAATAAGTCCCAACATAAGTCATTTTTTGACCAGCTCGGCAGTCATGTAAATGCCGCGTCACGCAAAAGCTTAGAAATTCAAGCGTAGTCTATCACAAAACCAAGAACCCACTCGGAGCAAAAATTTGTATGAATATTAGTTTTCAGCTGCTCTTATACATCATAAAAGTAAAATATAAGGAGGATCAATAGTTTTGTATTTTGAATTTTAGTGACGCCATGTGAAAACCGGCAATACTTTCCTTTCATGTAACTGATAGCTCAAGACAATGGAAGCTAAGGCCACACAAACCTCTGATATTCTACCATCTTGTAACACAATAATCTGATCAACTTGAGGAAGAAAAGCAATGCCATGGGTCACAAGGACGCGCGTCTGGTGAGAAGAATGCATTGAACAAATATCTATTATATTATTATATGCTGACAGTATACAGATATTAACTACACTACTACATGAACCCTCACAATGTGGATTCATTGTTGCTATGGACATATCTTCTATAAACAATGTCTTGTCATTACAAGCAGGTTTCTTGTTCGCAGACGGACTAAAATTCTTTTGAGCGAGAAAACTAGCGAACGTACGAGCGAACGAATGAGCGAAGGAGCACACGAACGAACAAACGAACGAACGAACGAACGAACGCACGAAAGAACCAACTAGCGAACGAACGAATGACAGAGCGAACGAACGAACGAACGAACGAACGAGCAGAGAAACGAACGAACGAGCGAGCAACGAACGAACAAACCAACGAACGAACGAGCAAAAGAACGAACAAACCAACGAAGAAAAGAACGAATAGATATAAGAAAAAGAGTGAAAAAGAAATGGT